TGCAGGTTTTGCAGTTCGCACACACCTCCCTGTACTTCAGAGCAGCTGGCCACTTCACTCTTAGCCCTAGCCCAGGGGACTAGGTTAGTGCCTATGGGCTTAGGAGTTCACCCATCTTGCTAAACTTCACACTAGCCAGCCCTTCTTCTTCTGTTTCTCATCTCAAGGTTAATAGGTGCCAATGGAACATGGCCAGATTCAGCCCAGGTCTTCATTGCTGCATTTTCCCCACTTCCACTCACAAGTAAATCAATGGGCATGTTATATTTCTAATAGGTTCCCTTTGGGTTTCAGTCCTAGAACAGGGTTTTCCCTGATGGGCTGACTTTTGTTTCCTTGATGCCTCCAAAGCAAACATCTTGCTTATTATTCAAACAGCCAAACAGTCTACTTTTCCCTCATATGTCTTTCTTTCAATAAGAATCACCTGTTTTCCTAGCAGTTCTGGGTTGGTCTGCATGTCTTTGCAAGTGGGAATGTTCCAACTCATAAGGTTCTGAGTAGGGCTCAGGATTCTACCTAAGGCCCTAGGTTCTACAAAGAGTTAACAAGAAGCCTATTTCCCTGGGCAAATTCTCTTTCCCCTTTTAGTAAATTAATCAGTTATAGGCTGAAGACAAGGCTTAAAGCTTTCTGTCATCATAATTCCCAATATTCATTTCTATCACACATAAATATCTATTTTACAATATTAGGCAGGGGAAACAAATATCCTCAAGACAGTCAAGCACATAAACATTTTCCCCCTTCTTTACCCATTCAGCCTATGTCTCAATCCATGTTATCTACTCACAGAACAGTGTTGTTCCAAGGTTGTATATAAATCACTATTTATTTCTATCCCATTTAGCCCATGCATACCTCCCTAAGTCTTTCCTGATCTGCTTTGTTCATCTGCCACCCTCCTCTTCTTGTGTATTGCCCTCCCCCTCCTTATATATTGCCCTCTGTCACCTGATCTAACATGTGTCTACCCTCTAGACAGTGAATGAGTCTCCACTCCCTTCCACCCCTGGTAATTATCAAAGAATGTTTCTTTTAGTGTGGAAACCTTTTACAATAATGGTCTTTTGGCCTTTTGTGATTGACTAATTTCATTTAATATAATGTCCTCAGGTTCCTCCATGTTATGAGGTGTTTTGCAGATTCATCATTATTCTTCAAGGTTGCATAGTATTCCATTGTGTGTATATACCAAAGTTTGTGTATCCATTCTACCATTGATGGGCACTTAGCCTGTCTCCATCTTTTGTGTTGTGAATAGCGCTGTGATGAACATTGGTGTGCATGTATCTACTAGTGAACTGGCTTGTATTTCTTGTGAATATATTCAAAGTAGAGGGATTACTGGGTCAGGTACCTGAGAAAGTGCCATACCATTTTCCAGAGTGTTTGAACCATTTTGCAGTTCCAACAGCAACATTGGAAGGTCCCAGTCTCTCCACACCCTCACCAGCATTTGTTATTTTTCTGTTGTTTTTTTTTTTTAACTTCACTGTTAATGCTGGTGTGAGTTGATAGCTCATTGTTGTTTTGATTTGCATATGTCTAAGGAGCTCTGGTAGCATAGTGGTTACAAATCGGGTTGCGAACCAAACCGCAAGGTCAGCAGTTCAAAACTACCAGCTGTTCCATGGGAGAAAGATGAGGCTTTCTGCTCCCGTAAAGATTCATAGCCTTGGAAACCCTATACAGGGTCGCTATGAGTCGGAACTGACTCCACGGCACATAACAACAATAAATGGCTAATGGTAAGGAGCTCTGGTAGTGTAGTGGTTACAAATTGGGCTGCTAACACAGTCAGCAGTTCGAAATCACCAGCTGTTCTGCAGGAGAAAGATGAGGCTTTCTGCTCCCATAAAGATTTACAGCCTCAGAAACCCTATACAGGGTCTCTATGAGTCAGAACCGACTCCATGGCATACTACCATCACCACCAATGGCTATTGATTGTGAACATTTCTTCATATAATTTTGGCTGACAGGTTATCTTTCTTGGTTAACTTGCCCTACTTTTAAACAACTTTTTTTAGGAGTTAGGGGGGAGCCTCACTTGTAAAAGGCTTGCTACTGTTAATTCAGTGCTAATTAAACTTCCTATCCAAGTCATACAGTAAGAGCATGTATTTGCTGTAGAGAATGTAAAATCAATAACAAAACCCCACTAAAAGTCAGGTCTTCTTTTATTATTCTAAATAAACCAAAGATAACGTATACTTCCTGGTCAAGGACTATTTCCCCCGCCCCTTTAGCATATCCCTTGTCCTGGTGGTGCAGTGGTTCAAGTGCATAGCCAACCAAAAGATGGGGTGGTTCAAACCCATCAGCAGCTCTGTGGATGAAAGATGAGTTGGTCCGCTTCTGTAAAGAGTACGGCCTTGGAAACCCTGAGCAGAAGTTCTACTCTATCTGATAGGATTGCTAGGAGGGTAGCTATGAGTGGAACCAATTCCAAGGCAAGGGGCCATTGGTACACCGTTGCTCTGTTGTTAGTTTCCACTGAGTTGATTTAACTCACGGCGACTCCATGTGTGCAGAGTAGAACTGCCCCATAAGGTTGTCAATGCTGGGACCTTTTTGGAAGCAGATCACTAGGGCTTACTTCTGATGGGCCAGGAAGTAGGTTTGAATTATCAGCCTTTCCAGTATTTTGTTGTTATTAAGTACGCTTGAGTCGGTTCTGACTCATAGCGACCCTGTGTAGGAGAGGCTGGTGAGCTTGAACTGCCGACCTTGCAGTCCAGTGTATTAACCCACAGTGCTATACCGCCATTAGTTCTGTTCTTAACCATTTGCACTACCTAGGGACTCCATATTACTGCTTACAGAAGGTGTGGCAGTTGGATTTTTAAAGATATGCTTATAATAATTTAGAGGACAGAAGATTTGGAATGTCTACAACTAATAAGAGTTTTGATGGGAGAATTTCTGAGAATAAGATAAGACATGGTAGCTCTTAGAGGCAGACCTAAAGTAATCTCTTCCCAGTTTGTGAGCAGGATTTAAGTTCCATTTTAAGCAAATGTGTCACACCAAAATTCTTAACATATTTGCAATGTAATTTTGGTTAAGATGGGCACCATATTTTACTAACGTTTTCCCACTTTGTCCAGAAAAGTAATTGTTCAGATTATCATATTATTGGAAGTCCAGGACTATCAATGAGTTCTGTTCCTGAGTCTGTTTTATAAGTTGAATTTGTGCATAAATTGGAAGAATTAGTTTTACCTAATGTCAATCAAATGATTGTCTTAGTATATACCATATATAGTGTTCCTTCCTATACATAAAAAAATTAAACACGTCCAGATACACTAAAACATCTTTAACATAATAATAAAGTACTCAGTTTTGGAGTTCTGATATGCCACTGTAGGCTAAGTATTGGACTGCTAACGTAAAGGTCAGTGGTTCAAACCTACCAGTTGCTCCTTGTAAACCCTTTATAGGGTCACAATGAGTTGGAACAGACTTGACAGCACTTAACAACAACAATGTTTTGATGCACAACATAAGTAGCATCTGTTTGTTATTCCCAACTATCGCACAGACCTTGAACTTTTAATGGGTGTTGGATCGTAACAACATGTTATACACACATTGGATGTTCATAACCTGGAGACTGCCTGCACTATTTTGAATAAACTTAAATTTACATATAAATAGAAATGCCTACAAATCGGTGTGGTGCTGTGGGTTAATGCACCATACTGCAAAGCCATTTGAACTGCAAGGTTGTTGCTTCAAGCTCACTAGCTGCTCCTTGGAAACCCTATATAGAGTCACTATGGGTTGGAATCAACTTGATGGCACTTAACAACAACAAATCTTTAGTGCACAGCTTGATGCATGTAGTGGTTTCCTGTTGCTGGTATAACAAATCACCACAAATTTAGTGGCGTAAAGCAACACGCCGCATTTATTATCTTACAGTTCTAGAAGTCAGCAGTCCTAAAATCAAGGTGTCAGTAGGACTGTGTTCTTCCAGAGGCTCTAGGGTAAACTACATTTCATTGCCTTTTCTAGCTTCTATAGGCTTCCTGTAAAGGAGCCCTGGTGACACAGTGGTTAAGTGCTTGGCTACTATTCAAAAGGTCACTGGTTCAAGCCCACTAGCTGCTCTGTGGGAGAAAGATGTGGCAATATGCTTCTGTAAGGATTACAGAAACCCGATGGGCCAGTTCTATTCTGTCCCAAAGGGTGGCTCTGAGTTGGAATCAATTCAGCAGATTCAGGTTTTAAAGACCTCCTGTAATCCTTGGCTCATGGCCCGTCTTTCATCTTAAAGTCATGGCATAGCATCTTCCAATCTCTCTCTCAGACTCTTACCTTCTGCCTGCCTCTTATAAAGACCTTTGTGATTTTTATATTGGACCCGCTTGAGATAATCCATGACACTCTTCCCATCTCAAGATGCTTTATGAAGGGGCTTCAGAAACGTTCATAGACAATGGAAATTTCCCACAAACCTTTTGAAGCCCCCTGGTAACATTGAAAGGTAACATTGTTACGGGTTCTGTGGCTTAGAGTGTGGACATCTTTATGGGGCCACTATTGTGACTACCATAGCGCATTTTTACATATGAACACTCCTGTGTGAACACAACCACCTTCACAGAAAGGATATTGCCAGAAGTCTAGAAACCTCTCTTCTGGATGATTCAAAAAACAATGAACAAGTTTGCAATATCACAGGCCATTGATTTTGAATACTGGTTATCATTACTTAAGACATCCAAACCTAGGCTGATGGAATAACTTTTTTTTTTTTTAATCTTGAATGACTTTATTTAGGAGATTTGTCTCTTAACTCCTAAGTCTAAAAATACACTAAATATACACCAACCAATATGGATTTGCTTGAACTTTCGGTAAGTGAGTGTGGAAGGCCCTTGGGAGTACCAGAGATTGAAATTCACTAGTGATGGACTGGCTTGACAAACATTCTGTTTTAACTTGCGATCCAATGATTTAAGTTTAACAGTTTCTGTTTGTTTTAGGAGCGTCATCAATTGCAACTGCAGCTCCTAGACCATGAAACAGAAATGTCAGGAGAAATCATTGGTTCTGATAAGGAAAGGTAAGACATATTTCCTTCGTGTTGTAATAGATTTTAGATGTAGGACATGCTGTTTTTGTGGAGTCATTTGGTTTTTGCATTTCATCCATTTGGACAATTATTGTAAATTTGCTGCACATATGAAACATTGCTTTGAGAGTTTCTCATGGGCCAGGCATATCTGATGGTCCGTGGCAGTTTTTTAGTATACTAGAACACATCAGGAGTCCTGGTGTGGCGCTATAGGCTAATGCATCAGATTGCATAGCTGTTTCAAGCTCACCAGCTGCTCCTTGGAAACCCTATACAGGGTTGCTATGGGTCAGAATCGACTCGAAGGCACTTAACAACAACAATAGAACATCTCAGATACTGTCTCACATGCAAAAGTTCAGCCTATAAGTGTTCTCTGTGTCTTGAACTCCACAAGATGCACCCTGCTTATGAGAAAACTCTTCCATGGTGACTAATACCATTTGTCCTAGAAACGAATTTAAAAATGTCTCCCTTTGTTTCCAACTATTGCTCAGTAAAACCTTGCTCTAGCTCAGAGTGTGTATAAGCGTGTAAGTGGAAAATATCAGCAGAATACTCACTGTCTCTTCTAGAAATAAAACTGCAGAGAGGCCTTGCATAGCTCTCTGGTGAAGAAAACAAGGTTGGAATCATTTGAGCATTTTGGGCAAGTTAAGTTAGCCTATCTGAGATTCTTAGCTTATCTATAAAATGGGGATTATTTTGCTAAGGTAGTGTCTTATTTATCCGGTGCTCCTAAAAGTGAAATAGTACAAGTGGGTGGCTTTAACAAACCCATTTATTTTCTCACAGTTTAGGAAACTAGAAGTCTGAACCCAGAGTCCCAGCTTGAGAAGTCTTTTTCTCTCGGTTACTCTGGAGGAAAGTTCTTGATTCTTTAGCTTCTGCTTCCTGCATCCTTGGAGATCTCCATGTGCTTTAGCATCTATCTAATCCCATCTCTGCTTGCTAGCTTGCATTTAATCCCTTTTTATATTTCAAAAGAGATAGAGTTGACAGAAGCAATACACTACTCTTGCCTTGTTAACATAACCAATATAACCCATTCCCAAATGGGATTATCATCAAAGGTGCAGAAGTAAGGATTTATAACACATATTTTGTGGGGAGATAACTCAATCCACAACACTGCACCCTTTGGTCCTCCCAAATTCATGTATTCTACATATAGAACACATTCACCCCATCGAATCATCCCAGAAGTCATCTGAATCATCTAGGTGTATTTCATCCTGGGACAAAATTCCTCTTCCTCTGTGAACCTGTGACATGTAGAGTACAAGCTATGTGCTTCCCAAGTACAATGGTGAAACAGGCAGATTGTAGACATTTCCATTACAAAAGGGGGAAATTGGAGGAAAAGAAGGAATAACAGACACCAAGCAATTCCCAAACCCAGAAGAAAGTAAATTACATGAGTTCTCAAAGGTTCAAACATAATCCTGTTTTCTGAGACCATCTGGACCCCACACTCCAGACTCTGGATTCTTGGGAAAGACCCCTCAGCTCTGGATTTCATCTCCACCTTCCTGGTCCGCTGGGTTGGCAACTCTTCTCCCTTTGTTTTAGGTGTCTGGTAGCGTAGTGGTTACGAATTGGGCTGCAAACCTTAAGGTCAGTGGTTCGAAACTACCAGCCGCTCCGTGGGAGAAAGATGAGGCTCTCTACTCCCGTAAGGATTTACACCCTCGGAAACCCTGTACAGGGTCGCTATGGGTCGGACCTGACTCGATGGCACTTAACAACAACAACAACAACATTATCCTAGTACGTCTGAGTGGTGACCCTACCCCTCAGCCCTGGCAGGTCCCTTTCTTCTGCTCCTTGGGCATGGCAGCCCTGCCCCTGGGGGCTGTAGTCCCACCCTTTGAGATCCAGGAGACTGTGCCCCACCCTTTGAAACCAACAAGGCCTTGTTTTCTGTGCTACTTCCAACAATTCCACTGATTTCTGAACTGCTCCAAGGATGATCCTTTTTTTATCTTGGGGGACAACAGTTGAAACTTCTTTTGTCTGTTTCCTGACTGTAGAATTCCAAAGGCCAACAGTGTTCTTTCCTTTCATTCTTTCTCTACCCACTTCAGTCCAAGTTGATGTTTTTGTTGTTGTTGTGGTGGTGGTAATTGATTAGATTCTTGTTACTTGGCAGTATTTCCCTAGAGCTCTGAGTCTCTATGCTGATATTGCTGCTTTGGTTTAGGACTCAGTTGCTTGTTTTTCTGTCTGTATCAGGTATCAGCAGCTGGAGGAGGCATCTGCCAGTCTCCGTGAACGGATCCGACACCTAGATGATATGGTGCATTGCCAACAGAAGAAAGTCAAACAGATGGTTGAGGAGGTTAGTAAACATGTGTCAAAGATAATGGGCCCAGGATTGCTTCCTGGTGGAACTATTTCAGGCCGCAGTCAGGTCCAGCTCTTCTCTTGGGTGCCTCTGGCTCACAGGTGACCTTACAAAGGCCATTGTCATCTTGGCCCAGTGGGGAATTTCCTCATATGTCTTCTGATGGCTGTTCCTCTAAAAGAAGGACTTCTTTAAATCAAGAAAGCTGTGAAGCACAGTTAAGAAGTCAATCACTTTCAAAGGACAGTGATACCCCACACCGGTGCCTATAGTTCTGGGAACAAAAGGTCTGACAAAACAAGTTTTCTTCAACTCAAGTCTCTGCTCCTGAACCTGCCTGCCTTGCTCCATTGGTTACCACCCTGTTCTTACTCTGTCGCCGGGGGTGTCTTCCTATTCCCCTGTCTCTTCTCTTTCCCTACTGGCTCTTCTCTTTTTCTCTTCCTCTCCCCTCTTTCCTTTCTCCCACTCTGTTTCTTCTTTATCTCTTTCCCACCATCCTTTCTCTCCTTAACTACCTATGCAATGTGGAACCAATTTACATGTTTACTATATACTGGACATAGTTTAGGACTCTTTCTAAATGAAAAACAACAATAGGTAAGTGAAACATTTCTATTTCTCTGAGAGGTAAAAAAATATCTCTTGTGTTAATGTAATCTTTCTTTCTTGTGGTGATGCTCAGTAGAAGAAAGCCTGCACTGTGACAAAGCTAATTACTTATTACTGTAATTTTTTTTACTCATAAAAAATCTTATAGAAGATAGAGCAGGTAGGTATTAATAGGCATATAGGATTTTAGAGGGTCTAAATCTCTAGTTTGTAAGAAAAAGCAAAGGCTTCAATTTAATTAAACATTTGGTTGACTGGAAGAACAGGAAAAAAAACCCCACATTTTTCTATTTTCATATTAAACACCACTCTGAAAGTTTATCCATTTTGTTAATCCATAAAATGTTGGTACTATTAGTGATCTGCCCGGGGAGGAAACCATGCAGGCTTCTTCCCAGGTCTATTGTATACATGCCAGTAGCATTACCAGCAAAGCCGGTGGTTCAGGTCACTAGCTGCTCCTCAGAAGCCCTGTACAGGGCTTAGAACTGACTTGATGGCACTTAACAACAACAACAGCATTCATTACCAGTAACAGTGATTGTACTCACTCGTCAACCCTGTACCAAGACAAAGCATCCTGTTTTCACAGAGGGCATCTTGGTGAACCCTGACTGTCAGATCTAGTGTTTCTGCTTCTGAATTTCATCCACATGAAGTCTAAAACAAGTGCTAGCTTCTTTTCTTGACATGACTTCTTATAACCAGTGAGGCCAGCTTTCCTCCCATCCCACCGCAGTGTGGTGGTCTATCTTATTTTAGTACCAAATATTACAGGCCCAGTGAGTAAAACATCATACTAGCTCATCTCTGATTAAGTTTATTATCTGTAAGAGTTTAAGACTGATACCAAAATCAAGGCACTTGAAAATTTTTTGACATATTCAAAGAAGTTTAGAATTCTGCCTTTGAACCTACTTCCCTAATATAACAAGCATAACACTCTGAAGACACAGGTGGAATGAGTATACAAGTACTCCTCACTTACTGTCTCTTTATCAGATGTGTGAAATTAAACAGTAGTAAAAAATTTACCATCCAAGTATTTTGAGCATTAACAATGTGTGGTAGTAATGAATGCTGGTACTTGAGGCCAGAGTAATGCTGGTTATAATGGTTAAGGTTGTGTATTATCTTGGCCATGGTTCTGAGTGGCTTGGCAGTTATGTAATGGTGAAATCTGGAAGTTATGTAGTGATCTGAATGTGGTTGTCTTCCATTTTTGCATAATGCTGATTTTTG